TTTCGATGTATTGATATTTTGACTGCAATAGGACAACATTTTAGAATGGTTACTAATTGCAGAAAATGTAAGTGCGTGCTGTGAATCCTTCTTATGGATCAACAGGAATGGGTAACTTATTCAATTAGCATTTATCTGTGTATTTCGAAAAAAAGCCGCCGCCATTACACGGGTATGGATGTCAACCCCTCATCTACATCAGCCCCTTCATGCTGCCATATCCACGCTTCTATCGCAGGGGATTCAGTTAATGAGGTGGAAACCCTAGCCCACAGTTCGTTAGGAGAAGAGAAGACATGAGTGGTAGGAAGAGTTTTCTCTGCACAGAAGGAGTGGAGAACCGATAGGAGGAAGTTGATTGTCGGAGGAGCGTGGGCCTGCATCGGAACCAGGCAGTGTCTAAAGTACGACCACAGTGAGCGGTCTTAGTGTGGTTCAACCATGAAAGGTGATTGGCCAGATCGGGGTAGACAGACGCGCCTGTGATTGGCTGTCCCAGAGGCTGACATCAGCAGCAGTGAGCGTTCGCGCGTGAGTGAGTCGTTACACTTCCACCATAAACCGGTTCTTTAGGTAGGGGGTTTACCAATATTCTGAACTACGAGTGAGCATAGTTAACTTACTCCACGCGATTGTGCTTTATATAGGCCCTTTGACGATGTGACAGCCAAAGTGGAACAGATCCAAACCAATAAGTCTACGATAAAAATGAAAATTATGGAACTGCAAAGGAAGCAAGATGAGGCGGAGAAAGAATCCAATAGACTAAGAGGAGACATTGAAACCTGTACACAGGTGTGTGTGGCTAATGAAGAAAATCTGTAAGTACTCTGGCTATATTGATTTTGAATAGCTACATGTCCCCTAAACGCTCTTCTCCACCCCCTGATTCATATGATATTTTTTTAACCGAACATTTTTTTGAACTTTCAAATGGATTCACCCTGCTGAACTCAACATTATATCAGTGTGTTTAATACAAGCCTTTTTGCTTTAAAAACCTGCAAATTAACGTCGACGTTTTCAAAAAGAAGTAAACTATGCAGGCTTATATTGGATCCTCGGTGTAACATGCACACTATTTTAATTTTTTTAGCGAAGGCCTTCAAGACCAGTTAAGGGAATCTAATAAACAACAGCAGAGGAAACTTGAAGGTAAGCTTTTTCGCAACACGGGTGTTCAGATCTTTGTCATTTACCAAACCATGCTGCCGAAAAAGCCTTTTGCTGATGCTGTAGTTCAAAGCTTGAAACCTTTTGGAGACCTGTGTTGGTGGCAACTCTGGAAGTGGAAGGAGCATAGATGGACTGAAATGTGTTCTTGGTAGGCCTTTCAGAATTTTTTTCTGTTTCCAGCGGGTCCTGTCGTCCTTTTTAAATTCGAGGGGCAAGCACAGTTTACTCCAGTTGCGGAAGTATATCTTGGCTAGCTAAGCCCTCGTGGATAATTTGAAGCTTCCAACAGTCAATGTGCGATAAAGTTGTCTTCCCCTATTTAAGCCGAC